TTCGCGCACGGTAAACCAGACGGCGCTATTCATTTTTCGCATATGGCCTATTGGATGTCCGCCTAGGCATAGCGGTGTCAATGACCGCTATGGCTAGTAATTACTAAAATATTTTAATTTGTCAATGTACGATAAGAAAATCCAGAACCGACTTCTTCATAGAAACTCTATCACGTCGTGTACAACATCGTCAATGGAACGGGGGCGGGGGTGTCGACCGCTACAAATCTTTAGGGGGTGGGGTGTGAGGACCCTGAAGTCCCCCCCCCCCCCCCCCCCCGCCGTGTGTGCGCCACTGCAGAAGACTGTACAACGCTACACTGTTAGCGTAAATACAATCCTCTCAATGACTTTTTTTTTTTGCATTTTGATTGGACAGTGTATTGAGGGACGCAAGATTGCGACACCTAGGTTGGTGCGTTAGATGAACACTTTTGACAACATAGGTAATTTTGGTAATTGTGTGTCATCTGTCAGTGGAAGAATGTATATTACAGAAATGACTCGCTTGTGCCAACTCTATTTCGCCGTGTACGTCACCACTGCAACGGCGAGGGGTGGGGGGGGGGAGAGGAAGAGGGGAGGAGGTGATTGATTTATTTACGCTAAAAAATCCTCGTTGCGGACATTACGTTAAAAAAATTCTGAAAATACTGATACAAAAAATTATCACGGAGTTGTAGGGAGGAATATAACCCTCAACCCCCCCCCCCCCCCCTCCCTTTCCCGTGGGTGTGCCACTGTAGTAGATGCATGACGAAGCACATCTCTTCCCATTTTTGCAGGTACCCCCCATTGCCAACAAGTTCCCACAGGGCCAAAGTGTAACGTTGCTTACTTTGCAGTATCTGACCGTTTTTGTTTTCTTTCATGTTCTTTTTTTCATTTCAGAAAACTTCACTCCGTATTCCTGCCCCCCCCCCCCCCCCCAAAAAAAAAAAAAAAATGTTTTGGCGTGCCAGTGATGAAGCATCTCGCTATAAAAGCCTCACAGGCTACCATTCTGAGGCTTTCCTGGAACAAGTTGAGGTAATATGCAAAACATGCTTACTTTGCGAATAAAAACTACCTGAAGCATCAACTTGCAATTTTTTTTATTCAACATGTTAGAGCATACAAAGGCGTCAATACAATAGCATATTAGTATAAGGCGCGCCTCACTATTTGATATTGCAGTGAATCTCATGCAAAAATCAGTGCACCGGTTTAGGGAACTACTTCACGCTGGGAAATGTTGGACCCAGCTTGGAATAGTTCCATAAGCCAGTACTTCTTGCCTGCGTTAGTGGAGGTGAATGAGGTCGACCCCAATCTGGACAGCTGCTGCACCACAACACAGCGGCATCTCTGGGGAATCCTAAACCCCATTGTCTTCCAAAGTGCATGTTGTCACGGAGTAAGGCGAAGAGACGATAAATTATGAACTGAAAAGAAGGGTTTAATTTGCGAACATCTGCCAACCAAAATTAAGAATGAGCGTCGAGACAGCAGAAAAGCGGGCGGCAATTTGGTGGCGTAATGGGAAGCGAGAGCGAGACCGACTCGACAAGGTCACAGGCAGTTTCTTACCTAGTGTGTGCTGGCATCGCGAAAATTCGGCCCATAAGGTTCGAGCACCGGATGTTCGGGATGAGAATGAACAGGCACTTACTCCCTGGGCAAGAATAAATGCTAATCGTCTAGAATTCCATGACCGAGCACTGCTTGTGCGGCCTCGCGCGCGGCAATATTGCGTTGGGCCTACAGGGCAGGATATCTGAAGCCACAGTATTGTTCTGATGGATAGGCATTGCTAATGGCCTCCACTACAAAGGCAGGCAGGATCTTCCTGTTGTGCCTTCCGAGGCGGTGCCAAATCCACCTTGCAAACCGGTAGTATCCAAAGTACCTGTACCTTCTATTGAAGTAATAGAGAATCCAGATTGAACTCAGGGTTATGAAGCACTATGGTAGACACAGCACCAGGTGGGCCGTGATGTTAACGCCCCACCCCCCAACACCCGCATAGCAGCGGCACTATCAAGCACCATGCAATGTGGAAGAACATGTCAGCTGCCCCCACGCATGCACTGTCCACAGGTGCACCTGCTGCGTGAGCACTGGGTAGTTGAAAAGGTCACAACTCGCCTCTTATTGCTGTTTCCAACAAAGCACAGTGCAATCATTATTCATTTCATTAATGAATGATGATTGCACAATAAATGTAATGAGCTCGGCATACCATGTTCGCTGTGTCTGAAGGTACGTCGGACATACTCGGAAGGTGGAGCCTAAAGGTGTGTCATACGTAACCGCGATTGGGGAAGGGTCGTATCACTGGGACCCCAGTGACACTTTTCATCCCACCTTTATTTATCAATAGAGAGTTTTCGTAGACTGTTCCTTCGCTACACTCTCAAAACAAGGACGCCACTAGTGCGCCTGAGTAGCGCTAGCTTTGCCTGCAGAGTCCCGGATGTCGTAGCGGGTAGCGGAGAACATTCTACGAGAACTCCCAATTACTAATCGCCCAATTCTAAGCACCCCTTCTTGTCCCACCCGTGATGTTCAAAGAGGGTGTCGGAGGTGCTTTGATTCAAGAAATGACTCTGAAATTATGAAATGCGCGATCCCGTACACTTTTTAAGGGTCGCGGCGCCCGATATCTTTTACACCGTATCACACCATCGTCTGCAGCGCCGTGGTTCCCGTCGTCCCTCGCGTGCATGATGACCATTTGTGGGAAGTAAAGTTATGAATGCCTGAACCACGTAAACAAAGCAGAAAGCGCACACTTGAAAGAAAGAACGCAGAACACTTGCGCGGTAGCTTAAGTGGCGTTGTGTGCCTCCATCTATAAACTGATGACGAAACCGAGTGCCTGGGACCGCCCGTGAGCGCTCGGCCTTGTTGGAGAGCAGACATCGCGTGTCTCCGATGCATTTTTTTAATGTTTATGTTTGAAGTAGGTTGGGGGGGGGGGGGTGCTTTGAATCGGGTGGTAGTTCTATTTCCATGCTATAAATGTGCTCGTCGTTCGAAAATTGCGTCGCATCTGACCGTCTTTCTGCCGGATCAATTTCGTCCGACATATCTTTAGTCCACTGTCCGGAGACGTATCTGTAGACTACCGGATCTGCATACGTGCGACATTTCTTTAGGCTCCGGGTTCCGGATACGTCTGATGTACGTTTAGAGGCCTCGTTCCGGATTCTTCCGACGCGCACTTAGACAGCGTCATTTCGTGTCAAGATCACATCTGCCCACGGTAGAATAAACGGTACTCTCTTGTACAATAACAAATTGCGCACAATGTGGACTCATCGCTGCACTTACCATTTACAACCTTGAACTGCTTCTTTAGAATTAGAGGCCAGTTTCTACACCAAAATGTGATGCCCTCTTGCCTCATTCTGAACTCAAATCGGGCGCCGTATGTAAGTATTGGGTTACACAAAAAGATGTGGATGGAAACCGACCAATGCGTTTGTGTTTCGAATATTTGACAACACCTGGATTGTGAAGGCCTTACCTGTGGGTTTCCCTGTTCCCGACGAGCTCCCTGTCCAAGAGCTCGATCGCCCTGATGCGATACGCGATGCGATTTGGAAAATGACAAGGTTGAGGATTGCCCCGAAGAAGTCGCTGTGTTGCGTGATGGAGATAGTGCCGGCTTTGGCGACGACCTCCTCGACTTCGATGCAGCAGATACATTCGCCGGCCGTCGGCATTACATGACAATAGCCGCAACTGCACGTAAAATTAAAAAAAAAAATCGGGGGTGTGTACGTTTATACAGCCTAGAACTTAGCCTGACTCAACGGGCGACTGTAGATGAGAGATTTAGCCAGTGCAGTATAACCGCTAGTCTTCCGTCTTTAACGTGCATCACGCAGTAGTGATACACGACCGCATGCCGGTACGATGCTGATCCAGATCTAAACGGGCAGGGGTGGGGGCGCATAGCAGCACGGAATTTCGCATGAGTCAATCCCAGCACTACGCGCAAACTTTTCCGTTTTTTTCCTCCTGAGGAGTTGGCTCTACAACAAAGACAGTCAGCGGCCACTTCTAATCATGCGAGGCCTCGATCAACAAGGTAGCAGCTACGCTATTTTTGTCACGTCAATAAAGGAATCCCATGTCAATTACCAGTTCGTGTCGTTGAGGCGCGGCTTACTGTCGGGCAGCAGAATCGGTGCGTCGACTTCGTCGCTACCAGCGGTCCTCTGAGGCGTGTCCGCGTAGGGTGAAAGCCCGAGCTCCTCGCAGCAATCCAGAAGTTCACGCTTGAGCTCCGGGTCCATTGGTCTCGCTGCCATTGTGGTGACGACAGGCTTGTGCACGTGTGTTCAACTACAACACGCTGGTCGCACCGGAAATCGCGATATTTGGCCAAGTAGCCAGGCCAATCCAGTAGAAAAGGGGGTGTAGCCAGCGAACTTGGACGGCTAACTTGAGGGGTACAAAAGCTATCATCATCATCCCATTGGGATACAATTTCGGTTTCGCCCCCCAATCGAAAACTTCGCATTATAACGTAAATATTGGGGAAACATTTTTTTTCTTTCGACAAACATTACTTTTGAGACATGCCTGTCCAAATTAGGTACGAAAAAATGTTTCATTTTGGTTTCAGTGTTTCTTTAACGCTCCGAGGGCACTGGCATATATATCGACTGCGTCGCGCTCTATATCGTTTTTTTTCAATATGCTTTACATTAGACGGCCATGCTGCTAGGCTTCTTTTAGTGACGAGTTCAGGCCACGTGAGTGAGGAGTTAATGCATGTTCAGCGATCGCTAAACAACATACCTTTACGTTTCTAGATGGTTCGATTGAAGTGGTGGATCATTTACGTGGAAAGGACCACAAGTCCTATAATTTCTACATGTTTATAAATATAATATAATAAAACAAACATTTTGCAGATTTGTTACCTGTGTTGGTTGGAAAGTCTTAATATTGAAAAAGAAAACATAGTGCTCTTATTTATGTTTATTGTTTTAAGGCTTTATAGACTAAAATTCTAAACATCGTGAGCTTCTTTTGAATAGCTTTTTGTTGTATTCTGGTTTCTCAGAGAGCAGGGCGAGCATCTGCAGTGCTCCTTGTGACCACCCGACGTACTGAAGTTTTTCTTTACCCGTTTCCCTCAAAACAGTGTCAATCATTGATGGTAAATCGTCGGAAGCCGTTTCGTCAATGCTGAAAAAAAAAGAGGAACACGTTTACAAATCTTTGTGATTCGAAAATAGAGCGTAGCTCTCGAGGAGGAGCAGGAGAGGGTACGAAGGGGAAGGTATGCCCCCTCCTCCTCCGTACCTCCTCTCCTCCTCTCCTCTTCCTTCTTCTCCTCTCCCCTGCTCCTATTTCCTCTTCCTCCTCCCCTCCTCTTTATCCTCCTTGCCTTTTCCTTCTCGCCTCCTCCTCTCCTCCGGCCCCTGAATTTGTTCATGGGTGATCATTTCAACAACAACAACACAGGGCGTACTCTCAACTGAAGTTTATTCGAAAAAGTACGCACTAATATTCCCAACCTCGCACACAGAAACGGTCCCTCTAGCTGTGAGGTGACAGGGTCGCTAAAGGTATTTAAGTCATGTTGCCATGAATTGTCTTTCACGCATGAAATACCTAAATATAGGATGATGCGATTCCTCTACCTCAAGCTTAGTTGTTTAGGGGAGCATATTTGCTCGACGTATGCACATATGTCAAGGAAAGGGATCCTTCTTTATGACTCCTGTCATTCAAAGCTCGTGAAAAAAGAAATCGCGAGCGCGTGTTTAGAAGCCTTCCTTAGCGCACAAGATAGCTTTGTGAGACAGGTAGACCGACTGCGGAGGGGGGTTTTCCGATTGAGCTCATTGGTCGAGGTAGCCGGGAGCCTTGTAAAGAAATTTAAGGCATCACGGAAACCATCCTGCCAGATAAGACTTCAACGGCCGGTGGTCAATCCCTGTATGCACGGCGTCGCACAAAACCTTAAGGCCGGTTCGGACACTTGCGTTTGAGTGCGTTTGACTGCGTTGCGTCGAGTACCGAAAGCCAGTCACCGGCGCATCTGTGCTTCGTATGAAGCGTGGAGTCCAATTCAAGGAATCATTTTGGCACGCGATATAAGCAGCAGGGATGTCCTGGTTTCTCGCTGGCGCAGCGCAGTCAAACGCAGTCAAACGCAAGTGTCTGAACCGGGCTTTAAGAATGTAGCTCAGCGTTACAATCCCGGTTGTGTTTCCAGCGCCTAATAAGATGTCGCGATTATGCCGAAGAATCAACAATTCACAGCCGATCATAGACCCGCCCAACACTAAGCATAGGAAGAAGTACACAGATTGGACGACTGGCGCCGTGTATGAGAGTCCGATGAGGAGTGGGTTAAGCTATGTAGGGCCAACAAGTGGATGTCTAAATAATCGGACCGGCGCACTCGCAGCTTCCACGAGGACGACACCGTCAGGGCATTTCGCCGTTCATTGCAGCAGATGCTCTTGCACCCCGTCATTCAACAGCACACACATTTTGGCAAAATAAAAAACAAGGTGTCATGCGATCTACACGAGGCTTTTGGGATTAGGGCTAAGGGAAGAAACTGCGTCAGCGAAACCTAATTGGCCCTATCTACGATCAGTATGAATATATAAAACGTGAGTTGGGCAGGGATTGATTGATGGCTGTGCGTTCCCGTTGGGAATATTAGTGCGTACTTTTTTTTAATAAACTTCAGTTGAGAGTGCATCCCGTGTCGTTCTCTTCGTGTCTCTGTCCGTGTTTTCTGCTGCTTTATACACTTTGCAATGTACCGACTGGCCAATCGAAGCAGATTATTTTGTATTCTAAGGTTATTAAAGTGTTTTATGCGCAGAGACATATATTATAAGGCTAATCAAAAGTCTAATATTCTCAGCTGGTTTTTGTTAGCACTAAAACAAACACGTCTTTAGAAAAATATGTGTTTCCCTGCGGTTATAGTTGACGCTGTTAGTAAAGCCGCCACAAGAGTTCAATAGCGTTATATAAGAGTTCTTCAATAAAATGTTAATATTATAAGAAACCAAATGCGTCACTATTACGAAGCATATTTTAGTCATGCATGCTTAGCTTCCCTTGTTATTTGTAAAATAATTTGCAATCGTACCATTAGACACCCCACCCCGTATTCTTACAACCCGAAAAAAATCTAGAGCGCCTACGTTCCCGGAAACAACTTGGTTGAGCCAATCACTGAAAACTGTCAACAACAGGGCGAATAACGAGGCTGAAACTATCTTGAGAACTGAACAGACTGTGTGTGTTTCGGTTCAATGCCCTTTCGCATACTGTATTTTTTTGTATAAACATGTGTTTCGGCCCCTGTGAGTCCTATTTAGTCAAATTGGTTCCGCTCTTTTTCGGATCCCCTTATACGGCAGGTAACCGTACAGCAATAACTCACCTATGCTTCGTCATACCCGGACAGAAGCTCACTCATTCTTCGGCGGAAAAGGACAAAATCTCACATTCTTGTCTTTTGGTAACCCGGATGAAAGCTTAGTTGGGGCCAAATTGTATTGGATAAAGTTTGGGTAAATAATACGTGATTCGACGTTAGTGACCCCGCAATTATCATATACTTAAAATAATATATCTTTGAAACCGGTTGACTAAAAAACGAAGTCAAGGATATAGAGGTTGTGCTGGGGGTTTTCCTTATGTTAGTCGTATTTGTCCGAAATTTGTATAGCGCGATTTTGCGACATCGCTAGTTGCACTTGCATTTGCTACTACGTTGGGAGACATAGGCACCCAACAGCTTCTGCTTATGATAGAACGATAGGTTCCACAAGCTTGTGAGACATGGCCATGTAAGTGTCTGAAGGCTGATGCAATGTCTTCAACAGGAGTAAGCGTTTGTCACCACAGCTTTGCTGCAAGCACACAAGGCGAACCCCAAGAGAAAAGGGTTTTGAAATGCAACAAAGGGCCTTCAGGATTGCCCGAGGAAGCTGTCTGTGGACGATCCGGTTCATAGAGTCATATCAAAACTGCCCCAGGCAGTGTGAGGCGGTATTCACCTTTATAATGATCATCCGCGAACATAATGTTTTATTCGTGGGACATACCTTTCGCGAGTCCAACGCACTTTTGATAAAAATAGCTGTGATTTTTCACGGTATTTGGGCTCATGTACAAAGGAAAACAATTTTATGCAGGTAAGCTTTTGTCCGCGTTCACGAGTAAGATTGGTGAGCTTTTGTCCGAGTACTCGAGAAATCCGGTGACCTTTTGTCCGGTGAGCTTCTGGCCGGGATTCCTAACGCCAAGCAAAAGTGTCAGGATTCGGACCGCACGTTCCGGGCTCCCATTCCCTTCCGCGCCGCCAAGTAAATTATGCTAATTTGTATTGGCTCTGATAAATTGTTAATTCGTTTTCGTTCAGTATATGTTTTGTATGCTTATTTTTTGCCCAACAGTTTTATGCCTTATTTCACCTTAACCCGCGCGTTACGGTTGTTTTATTACAACTCGCTTCACATGAAATCCAGTTCTTACACATATTTTGCATTAAACAAACCAAGCATGCGCTTAACCTTCCCAAGTGCGTCCCTAATCTCACTTTTTCAGTGCTGTTTTCGACGGAGACGTGTGCTCGCTTCTACGTTACCAAATTCAAAAACTAAGCTACGGAACAATATCTTACGTGAAAACGAATGTGACGTCAAATTTATTATTATTTTCAAACACGCTGCTCTTGAAGGAATGTTAACTACAAAGTATATATTCTCTCTAGAGCAAACAAGGATAATCTCATTGCACAAGGTAGTAAAGTTACAAGCTTTGTCTTTGGCTGGCTTATAGGTGTAGGATAGTTTTGTTACCGTAATCGTTCTAGCTTACCGTAAGAATACATTTCGATAAAATAAAACTCCGGTCAAAATTCGAAACAACGGAAATGGATAATATCGATTTACGGAAACTGAATAAGAGCACGTCCAAAATATTACACTATAAACAAACGCTATCCACTCGAACACCGATATTAAAAGTTCTACCACCATCTTTTCAGCGGACATTAAGCGGGTTGGCTCTTTGGCAAGCAACCTTGTGCCCTGATGTCGTCTTCATTTTCAATGAGGTTTTTTTCTCGCACTTTCACCTCTTTAGCCGTGCGCTTATGTTGCGTTTTCAGCCGTCCCAGCAAGCTATTTCTGGTCGTTATCTTATGGTGCAGCGGCCCTATTTATAACGGCTCCTCGGGCAGTAGAGCACTAAAATAATTGATTCTGAAGGGGCCAAGGTGGCCCTTCATTTATTTACAGGAGGTATTTTAAGATGCCGTTCAGACCGGGAAGCAGCCAGCTGATGGAGCAGCCATCGGAGCCCCCCTGGAGCGATTTTTTGCGGGGCTTCTTCTCTTTTCACACGCGGACTGGCGCTCGTCTTTTCGCGTGACTGGCTTTCTGTGAGTAACATCGCTATCTCGGACGCCAAGTCGCTACAGGTCTTCCCTTCTAGTAGAGCAGCATGGTTTAGCTCCACGTGACCGTTTTCTTTTTGCTGGAGGGTTCTTGAGCAGGCCTGCAAGTGTAGTCTTCCGGTTTCTGCGAGATAACTGATGATGACACGAATGCAGTGTCGCAGATTGAGGCTGCCATAAAATCAGGTTTTATACGGTCGACGTACACGACGTGGGTTTGTTCATTGATGATGATGGTGAAAGTCTTGTTATCTCGGGAGATGTCTTTAAATGGGCCATCGTAAGGTGGTGTTAATGATGGACGCGCGGAGTCACGTCATAAAAACACACGTGTACATGTTGTTAGTTCTGTGTGAATCAGTTTTCCGTGGTGTTTTTTTTCGTGACAGGGTCGGTCGGAAAGAGGATGACATGTCTTGTAGACCTTAGAGATACGAAGGAAGGTCGGGTGGTGAATTGGACAGGTGTGTGAGGAGCTCACCAAGAAAAAGAACTGTTGTTTCATACTCTAACTGGATGCACAGCTGTCGAACTTGGCAGCTGTGCATTCAACATCTTCCTTCAAGGTGGCCCGGATGTCCAAGAGCATCAGAGGGAGAAGGTTCACCCAATTGGTCCTGTCGCTCTTTCTGATGAGCGAGGCCTTGAGTTGCCGGTGTAGCCTCTTGACCTTGCCATTGGCGGGAAGTTGGTAGGTTTTCGTGCGGATGTTGCACACTTCAAGGATTTTTGCCAGTGATGCGAAGAATGAGCTTTGGAAGTGCATACCACGGTCCGTGGTGACAATGGAACGGCAGCCGTACCGTGAAATCCAATTGGTGATGAACGCCTGCGCCACGGCTTGTGCGGTGATGGCCGAAATCGGGATCGCTTCTGACCATCTGCTAAAGCGATCCACGCATGTAAGTATATATCGGAACCCTTAGGATGTTGGGAGGGGTCCGACAATATTAAAATACCCGTGGTCAAAGAGGGCGTCTGGAGGTTTGAAAAGGTGTAGCGTGCTCTTTTGTATTACGCTGAAACTTGGAGCGTTGGCATGAGGTGCAAGACCGCGTCCAGTGGCGAATGTCTCGGTTGATGTTAGACCAGACATATCTCGAGCAGAGGAGTCGTTGGGTTGCTCGAATACCAGAATGGTTCAGGTCATGGAGTGAGTCAAAAGATGGAGCGTCAAAAAATGCGAGGAATGTACGGTCGTAGTGTACCCGTTAAGGTGTCGCCTACTACCTCGCAGTTTGTAAGCGGTGGTGCTACAGGTCGAAGCTGCAGTGAGGTGGAGGACTCTTGCAGTATCTGCAACTCAGCGTCATTTTGTTGAGCTTTTGCTAGTTTGGAGAAGTTGAGGTCAGGTGGCGCAGTGAGTGTCTCGACACGTGACAGGGCGGCTGCCACCTCGTTGTTAGCTGTATAACTGATCTGGAGCAGATCAGTTATATGTTTAAAAATCTAAGCGAGGTGACAAATCTCTGGAATCAAAAACGAGGTTTGATTAGCGTGAAAGGCGAAGGTGAGGGGTTGTCGGTTTGTAAGAAAATGGAAAACCCGGCCTTCCAGGAAGTTTTTGTAATGCCGTATTGCTACATAGCTGGCAAAGAGTTCGCGACCAAACGTGCTGTAACGTGTCTCCGCCGGCTTTAACTTCTGTGAGAAGACGCCTAGCCAAAACCAGTCCGTCTAGTTGTACTGTTGAGACACAGCTCCCACTGTGACATCCGGAGCGTTGACCCTAAGTCTCGTGGGTGCGTCTGGTCGTGGATAGACGTGAAGTGCCGTGTCGAGAAGAGCTTGCTTTTCAGTCTTGAACGCCTCCTCCGCCATCGAATTTCATTCGACCGGTGTAATGGGACCTTTCATTGAGCGCAGTAGACCTGTTAAGGGCTTGAAAATTTGGGCGCACTTGTTAATAAAGCGTCGATGGTAGTTGATGACGCCCAAAAATTATCGTCACTTACGAAGTGAATTCGGTTGCGGAAAGTATCATAGGGCTTCCATTTTCGAAGGCAATGGGTGAATGCCTTCTGGAGTCACTCGGTGTCCTAACAACTTGAGGTCGGACGTTCCGACGACACATTTTCCTGCGTTGACGACGAGATCATAGTTGCGTAGCTACCCAAAGAGTAAGAGCAGATGTTGGTCGTGCTCTTCCGGGAAATCGATCGTGGTTAGGAGGTCGTCAGTATATGCAAACACAAAGGGTAGCCGCCGTGTCACTACGTTTATGAATCGTTGAAATATTTGCGCAGAATTCCGAAGCCCGAAGGGCATTCTCACAAAGTCGAATAACCGAAACGGCGTAATAACAGCAGTTTTCAGAACGTCAGCTGGCTCGATAGGTGATAAGCTCTTACTAAGTCCACCTTGTTGTAAATGCAGACCCCGTTGAGTTGCTCTGTGAAGTCATGCAGGAGTGGTAAAGGGTAACGATCCGGCAACATACTGGCGTTAAGGTCGCGATAATCGCCGCACGGCCTCCAGTCTCCTGGCTCCTTCTTGGGCACCATGGGTAGAGGTAATGCCCGACAGCTGTTCGACGGCCGAAGGATTCCGAGCTCGAGCATGTGCTCGAATTCCCGCCGAGCCGTTCGGAGTCGTTCACCGGAGAGGCGAGGAGGTCGTGCGTATACAACCAAACCATAGGTAACGATGGTGGGAGTCAAACCATACTTGGTCGGTTGTGCCATATTGAAGGGCCTCGTGACATCGGGAAACTCGTTCAATATAGATTCGGACCCCGTTAATGGTGAGGTTTGGCGTATGCCAAGGAATGGAACGGTTGGACATATGCCATTTACAATGAGACTTGTCGCAGCGTCGAGAAGACAACGGTGGCACTTGCTGACATCTAAGTTAAAGTTAGACAAAAAGTCGGATGGTAGGATCGGACATTTGACGTTAGCCATGATGAAGAAACACCTGAAAATTTGGCTTAGTCCTAGGACGAGAGTAACTTATCGCATACCGAAGGTGGGTATGGTGGATTCATTTGCAGCGATTAGGTTTTTGTCTTTAACCAGGTGACTTCTATCTGCTGATGTCTGTGGGACCACGGACACTTCGGCTATGGTGTCGACGAGAAGTCAACAGCCGGTGAACCGACCAGCAATGTAAAAAAGGCGGCATGCTGGTCAGTCCGTGTCACTCACCGCCTTTAGTGAATGGCCGGGGTGTTTTCCTGCCAGACAAAGGGGGGGGGGGGGGGGGGGTGAGACTCTAGGGCTTGCTGTCCATACTTTCGGTGGTACCAGCAATTAGTACTCGGACTTCGGTGACGGCGATCGCTCTCGAGCGGAAGATGGGTTCCTCCGGTGAGAGGAGCTGCGTTGAGAAAAACGCCGTTCGTGGCCTGTCATGTTTTTGCTGACGCGCGACGTTCGCTGTCAGCTGGTAGATCTTCGTTTGAATTTCCTGCATGGAGGTTGCCGAGTACTGAAGGTCTGTCAACGCAGCTACCGTCGGCACCGCGTACTCCGCCACACGATTAGCCATTTCCGCAAGACGTCCAAGATATGTCATTTGCCCGTGCTACGACCATGCGAATGTCTTGCGGTAGCCGTTGCAAAAACAGTTCCCGTACAATGGAGTTGTCGTCGAAGCCATCCTCGAGTGATTTCTACAGGAACTTCTTGCTTTTCTACCCACACACGCACTGATGCGCGTCTTTTCGCGTGGCTCGCTTTCTGTGAGCCACTTCATTATCGCGGGCACCTAGTCGCTACAACTCTATGCTCGCTGAAGCGCGTCGTGGTGCCAAAGGTGGCACTCACTGTTTGCCACAGCTCAGTCCGTTCCTTTTCAGCCCGAGCTTACTATTAGCTGCCACAACGCTTCTGCAATAGTCAATGCACACCACAAATAATGCAGTTCTTTTCACAAGAGAGGTGGGATAAGAAAAGGGGAATAAGCTCTTCTCACAAGATTTAAGTGGAAAAGGTTTGCCAGGATGAACGGAGGCTCGTTCCGAGCCAGTGTTTATCCTGGCAATCTTGTTTTTCGGCCGGAAAATTTGTATATGTGTATTATATTGGCTTCAGATGTTTGATATTTTGAAAGCGAAGCAGTAAAACTGCCGTGGCATCTTACCTGAATGATCGGAACTACTCGTGCGACTAGGCCCGCCTTTCGTTTTGCTCTACCGCAATATGAGCTATGCGTCCCTCGATGGCCGTGCAGCTGTTCAAAAGGAGGTGCCATCATCGGGAACCGGTAGTTTCGGTTCAGCCGTATACTCCACGGAATAAATATTTGAGATGTTAAATCGACAAAACTACACAAGGCATAAAAAGACAGACACATAGTAATTCAGGGACCCGTCCTTCACTAAATACCGTCGCAACTTTAAAACCGTGACAATGTACAGAAGGTTACCTTTAAAACCTCGTGGTGTGATTTAGGTCCCATTTTTATCAGGATTGAAAAAAAAAACATTTCGGCGTGGAATGCTCACCTGAAGTCCCAGAATTTCCTCTCTTTTCGAGTGAGGTTTACGTGACTTGAGTACGTATTTCCACGGGAATTTCCCAACCAAACATCGTATCCAGCGTCGGCCAGAATGAATCCTATAAAATATAATAGTCGTAATTCAGGAATTCGTATTTTTTTGTAATTTTACACGTAGGAAAAAAAAAGAAAAACTCCTATTACACCTAAGCCCTTTCTATGAGCTGTGAATGCGAAAGCATGAATGTCGTTCTTCAGCTCCCTTACTTCATATGCGGCGTACTGGCATGAACGGCCACGTTTCGCTCCTGCCGAGACTGTGGTCGACGGCCGAGCGCGCACTCTCGTCAAGTGGCCGCAAGACGCTGAGCTCGTCCGTGCAGCCTCTCCGCAGTTTGCCCGTACGGTCTCTGCGGCCAGGCCAGCACCTCTTACCGGCGGCCAGCGTGCTGCGTGCGCTCCTCCGCCATGGAGCGAATTCTCTGGTGGCGTTCCTTGAAACTACGCCGCGCGAAAGCCAAAGGTAGCCTCGTTCCTTAAAACTATAACACGCGCCAGCCAATGGGAGCTCATCTATCAGATTTGTGCTACAGACGACAGGCTTTGCTCTATTTGGAAAGGGTAAGGTGCCGTTTGGCGCGGCCTCAAAAGCTGATGACGTCGTTTCGATTCGTGGGACAGTTAATGCTTCCGGATGATTAATATCAGCAAATAATAGTTTCAATTAGGAACAATAGTTTCTGCTAGGAACGTAGGAACGTTAAGTAATAGCAAAAGTGGAATATAAACACATATGCGACTGAATTGACCTTGATAATATTTAACTTAGAAAACAAAATATTAGGAAAGGTATTAATTGTATAGAAAGACACGGAGTTTCGGAACGAAAACTTCAGTCTTTGTAAAAAAAAAAAAGTCCAATCGAATATAAAGTCTGATGTAGCCGAAATTAAAAACCGCTTCTGCGAGCGTTCGAAATATCGGTATTGCTTAAGAATTGGATGAACCACATTTTGTTATATGTCGTCTGGCATCAAGGCTGTGGGCAGGCGAAACTAGGTGATGAAATCGAAATATTTCGAAAGCCCAAAGTAGCACGCGAAACGGATGTCGAACGTTTTATTGGAAATCTTCATTCAGATTAATGGGCTTCTTGGAAGCACAATGAATACGCCACTGAGTCCCAACTTGTTTGCCCTGCAGGTAGGGGTTATTTCTGAGCCTTATTCTTTTCAATTGACTGACCTACTTTTATTGCTGCTACCGACCCCACTGGGAAGCATGACTCCTTCCTCCTGCATGGTCGGGCATCAAGGGTGTGGGCGGCGAAACTGTGTGATTAAATTGAAATATCTCGAAAACCCAAAATCGCGCGCGAAACGGATGTTGAACGTTTCGTTGAAAAACTTCATTAACATCAGTGGGCTTGGTGGCAGCACAATAAACACGCCACTCAGTTATTTCTGTGCCCTGCAGAATGCGCAGTCGCCAGTGCCCGCCGATAGCTGTGGCGGTACAGCCTCTTTGCTTTGTGCTGGCGCCGCAGAATCTTCGTGCCCCGTTACAAACGTTTCGTCATTTGTCAATTCTTGCGACCATCTGCCTTCGTCGGATTATTTGATTGGAATCCTCGGGACGACATCAATGCCACCTACTTTCGCTGCCGACTCTTCAAGACTGCCACTGCTGCCGTTCATTTTCAGTGGGCTTTGTTGCAGCACAAGGAACACGCCGCTCAGTTTATATTTCTTTGCCTTGCAGGTAGGGTTTATTTCTGAGCTTTATTCTTTTAAGTAAAATGACCTGGTTTTATTGCTCCTACTAAGTACACTGGGAAGCATGACTCCTTCCCTCTTTGCTAGCATGATATGGAGTTTGTGTCACTCTCTTATTCGTTGTGGTGATATCGAAATGAATCCCAACACTGGTGAAGACACTCAGACTAGTCTTATAGAAATCATTGAAGGGAAATGCAAAGAGCTTTGCTATAACCAAAATAAAAAGTAACCAGGTAGCTCTGTAATCTAAGCATGACGGTTTATAATTGCGCCTTACAGCGGTTGATTCCAATTTATCTCAACTGCCTATGCCTTTAACCAGGTAAAATGCCCAAAAGGTAAAATTGCCGCTCTAAACATTGTCATCACCCAACTATCTTATAGAAACGATGACTTGGAAAATCGTTCTCGTAGGAACATGCCGGATTTATATGGCTTAGGGTAAGCTTGCGACGAATCACCGGCTTCCTTACTGAACTGTGTCATTCATCTGTCTTCAAAAGCTTTCTGTAACTTGTGATGGCATTGAGCGCAATCGTCGTCTTGATTCTCATATGTAGGATAAACTAATCCTATTATTTGAAGTGTGCTTGACTTTTGACACAAAATCTGAATTCTAACTAATTCTCGGAAATTAAAGGGCATCCTCTTTTTTTTTTATTAACGAGGATTTTTTTATTTCGTGTCCGTAACATCCTTAGCAAACTCTGGCATGGCACGGCTTACCTCAGACGAAACGGCTATAAAGGTTTTTTTACGTCATGTCTATTCACTTGTTAATAACATCCGGAATACATGGAATGGATCCAACAACTGTATCGTAAGACCTGCTCGTACTGTCGTTTCCGCACCCTTGGATCGATTCCCGCAAAATAATTTTTCCTTTTTAAATCTTAATGCGAGAAGCCTTTTTATAAAGTCTACTGAATTTGCTTGCGTTGTAGCATAATATTCCACGCATGTCATATGTGTAACTGAAACTTGGTTGCACGATTCCATACTTGACTGTGAATTTACCCATCCCATTTATAATGTTGTTCGGTTGCCGTAGCTCGTCTGGAAAAGGTGGGGGCGTCGCATTATTTTTGCATGCCTGATGGTTTTTCTTGTGTACTTTCTAGATCACAAGTGCTGTTGTTGAAGGTACATATAGATAAGTTTGTTCTCGTTATTTGGGTTGTTTACAGAGCGGTTAGTTCTTCCGTTCAAGTGCTGTTTGATAATCATAATTACACATTGCAAAAAAAGCTTGGAAACTTCATTCTGATACTCACGGATAATTTTAATGTTTCTGGCATAAATTAATATACGCTAACTGTAGGCAGCCATGATAATACTCTGTTTAATGCTTTTGTTGACAATACTTTAACATTTGATTTGGATCAAGTAGTAAAGCAGTGTACTAGAAATATGTCAGTACTTGACCTTGTTTTCTTAGCCATAGCATCACTGTGTCCGGTTACGAATGTTCCGCAACAGGGAGACCTACCAGATAACAGATATTTTCTTACAACGCTGAATATCACTGTTTTACATTCGAATCCTATAAGTTTTACAGTAATGGATTTGGATAGAACTGATCACGTGTCAGTTCTTGATGTGTTTAGTTTTTATTTTGATGGTTGCTTTCCCCAAGTCATGACTGTGATGTTGACGTTCTGCTAAACGAATTCGGTGCATTACTTACTGAGTGCGTTAAGGAAGTTGCACCTGTTACAGCAAAAAAGAATAATCCTACTCGCCCATGTATTACTAGAGAGGTGTTGGAGCTATCACGTCGTGTGAAGAGGAATAAAAGATGGAACATAGTGTTAATCCTCTAGACGTAGACTAGTTTGAATGTTTGCGGAAAAGGTTAGAACTAAAAATGGCTGCCGCAAAGGATAAATATTTTAATGTTACTCAATCTCGAATATTGACATCAAACCCTGCGAAGTTTTGAAATCTAACTTTCTCAGAAATGCTACTCCTTGTAGTTTTAATATTAAGAATAAATGTGTTAGTGACCCTGTAGTTTTTTCTAATTGCTTTAATGAATATTTTTATGAGTTTTTATTTCAGACTATGGCAATAAACCTTGTTTTCGTATAAATATTGTTTGTAATTCGTCAGCAGATATTCAGATTAGTGTTCCCGGTATACACAACTTGCTCTTGTACCTCGACTAAAAAAGTATTCAGGTCCTAATGATATCGCGAGTTTTTTTTTTTTTTTCATTGTTGTTTAGTTTGGACATTCAGATACTAGCTCTTATTTCCCAGAAGTCTCGTTTCTCTGAAACTGGAACTTGAATTTGGAAATCAGCAAGAATAGTCACTCTGCTCAAACAGGGTTAATAAACTCGTTTTAGAGTAACTTGAAAGCAGTTAATTTCTTTGTGCTCAACAGCATTTTTTTCGCCTATATTTTGAACCACTAGGCGTTGTCTGGTTTTTACTCATTACATTGCTTCATCCTTAAATAATAAAGGACAAGTTTACGGCAATGTCCTTGATTATTTGATGGCTTTGGTAAAGTATCGCGCTCTAAGTTACTTTGGAAGTTAAAAGCCACCCTTAAGAATACCCTTTTACTAGACTGAATTTCTGATTATTTGCATTGCAGGTCACAGTTCGTTTCATATGCGAATGCCATCTTTTCGGAGGTATTGGTTAGTTCAGGTATGCCGCAAAGAACGGCGTTAGCTCCTGTTTTATTTATTTACGTATATCAATGATATAAAACAAAATACCGGTGAAAATTTTTCTATAAACCGATGACTGCCTTCTGTGCAATGACATCACGTTCATTAATGGTCAGTTGTTAAAAAAACGAATCTTTCGTGCGCTTTTTTTAATTAGAGTAAGGAATGGCGAATGTACTTAAAATCTATAATATTGTACTTTTTTATACTTGCAAAGAAAGAATCGCCCTTTGTTCCTTAGTTATTGTATTGATAATGTACTTTTATACGAAGTAGGCGAGTTTAAATTCTTAGGTATTTTTTTACACCCAATCTTAGATGGGATCGACATGTCGACTTCATCTGCTCCCGAGCCTTTGAGGAGTTCGGACATATCAAGCGGACTCTCAAATGCTCCACTAGAGAAGCCAAACTAAGCGCCTACAAAACCCATACATAATTAAACAGCGCACAAGGAGAGGGACAGAAAAGGAAGACAGAACAGGCAAGCGCTGTTTAGCCCAAGTATCCACCATTTTGAACTAAAAAACCTATCTTAACCCCATTCTAGATTATAAATCAGTTGTAGGGACCCCTATTAAAAAATGAAAATCGACTTGAATATACCCGGGCTAAGACTGTAAGATTTATTTTTAAAATGTGTGACCGGCATTTATCT